CTAAAAAGAGAAACAACGATAAACAGATGTTTGATTTGTTGCAAGTGGATTTTTACACATCAACAACAGTTATTAATATTGACACCAATAATGAGAACGTTGAAAAGATCAGAGTCAGTTGATTTATACGCATAGCTATCAAACGCTTATAACATCGTCAATACTATTATTGTTTAAAATTCCGCTATCACTTGTTGCTGTTACATTTTCCTTATTGTCATAATCAGCATAATAGCAGATTATCCGGTCACCAGTTGTGCAAAATTTGGCACCAATAATTTATGATTTATAGCCCAAAAACTAATAACAATAACAATAAGAAGGAGAAATTTAAACAAATAAAAAGATTTATACGAGCTTTAGTATCTTCCTTCGCTTTATTTTTTTATACTGTTCAAAGTGTTAACACTAATAGATTGATTGATTGTTAACAACGGTTTTACCAGTGTTCAACATTGCTTGAACAGTATTATGTTTCAATCCAGTGCCATCTGTTTTATGCTGATCAACACTAAAGGCTTGGTGGAAGAAAAAAACTGTTATTAGCTGAAAAGGAATAAAAAAAAAGCGCAAAAAAAAAACGGTTAAATAGACCAGACAAATGCTAATTTTTCTTGTTAGTTTTTTCTAAAAGCATTGAATAGAATAAACCCTATAGAATAGAATTCAAAGTAATGGGGGGAGAAGAAATTAAGTGTTGCTGCTTGTTACTTATCGTTGTTCTATGTGGTTCTATCAGCGTTTTCTTCATCATCGTCGTCATTAGATGTGTGACGAATAACTGCATAAACTGGTGACAGTTTATCAGAAAAAACTGACAAACTGCGGATTGATTTGTGTTTTTCATTTTTATTAACAAAGTTTAGAAAGAGGGGAAGGGGAAAAAAAAGAAGAGGAGAAATTTTTAAAATATAGCGAAAAGGAGAAACAAAGATTAAAACATCAAATATTATTTATTTTGGAGTTTAGTATTTATTACTGTCAGAAAAACATCATACCTAAACAGCAACAAAAAAGAAAAGAAGAAAAGCGGAAAAAACTCAAAGAAAAAAGCAGTCAATTGTTTCAATGACTGTTCATTAATTATT